TTATGAGTCATTGAATTGTGGGTATTCATTGAATAATTTGCATGAGATTATTCTGAAATAAAATGTACAGTGAGTAGTGAATGAATAGAATATAGCTGAGAAGTTACCAAGGCGAGGTTGGCTGTGGCTTGTTCTGTTTCTCTGATCTTTCAGCGTTCATCCCAACACCTGCCTCCAGGTTTGCTTTTATTAATAAGACCTTTTAAGATTTGTGTTACATCTGGTGCACAACTTGTTGGGTATGAATTCTCAAAAAAGCTACCTGCCTGTGGTCTTGGGGCCCCAGCTCAGATCCAAGCTATATGTTGCCAGTTGTGGTGGTGCACACTAGTAAGATTTACTGAAGAAGGCAGAGGCAGGAGGATCCCAAGTTTGAGGCCAGCCTAGGAGGCTTGCTGAGGAGAAGATGCGGCCAGGGCCAGACCTGGCCATAAACAGTGGCAGGGAGACCAAGGCAGTGACTGCTGCTCCGAGTTGCTGACTGCTTCTCATGGTGTTGGTGACTGTGGTGATGCTGCTACCTGGGACGGAGGGTTTACTGCTGCTTGTCCAGAGAAGAATTGCCAGGACCATCATGTTACAAGAAAGCATCAGCAAAGGTCAGTTTGGAGAAGTTTGGGGAAGCAAATGGTGGGGAGAAAAAGTTGCTGTAAAGATTTTCTCTTCTAGGGAGGAATGTTTGTGTTTCCGAGAGTCAGACATTTATCAGACTATGATTGCTCCAAACCACAAAGGAGGTACAAAAAAAAAAAAAAAAAAAAAATGGCAGGGAACCATGACCACACCTAACAGCAACTTTGAAGTCTCCAAACAAATGACAGGATCCCACAACAATGATTCCACAGGGACTATGATAGAACTATTAAGCTGATTAACACCACCCAAACCTCAGCTTTGAACTATAAACTACTCAGGACTGGCTAGCTGGCTAGATAAGATGATCCAAATTTACAGACTACTAGAGCAAGGACTTGAGAAAGATGCCCTGCATTTTCCCATTATGCTGAGATTGGACAACACATGATATTGCTACCTCTCACAGGACTTGACAATTAACACAAAAATTTTCTTTTCAGGATTCCCTAAAAATGTCTCTCCCCCCCCCCACAGAAAGCAGGAAATTATTTTAAGATAACGACACCCAAATTCCCAAAAGGTAAAGTGGGTGGTTTTGGTCATTTAATGAGTTATGGATATTGTCATTGTTTAAGATGGTTGGTTACAAGTTGTTAATTGATGGTGGTCAGGAAAAAAGCTAAACAAGGAAACTAGATTCAGGGTTTTTGTTTTAAAAAAAGAAAAAGAAAAAAGAGGAATAGGTATGAGGTAGATTATTGAATCTATTCTGGAAAAAAAAGATATAGAAATAATAGCATAAAAGGGCAGATTATTGAATCTACTCTAAAAAGAAAAAAGAGAAGATATGGGAATGATAACATAGAAGGTAGATTTTTTTAATCTACTCAGAAAAGTATTAAGATAAAATATGTAGATTATTGAATCTACTTTGTAAAAGGAACTATTTGTTTTAAATATTTTACATTGGATTGGATTTTTGTATATTATATACAAATTTTGTACTGAACTCACCAAAATATAATAAATAATGAAATTTTTGTCTGAATTTGTCAAATGTTAATAGACTGGACATTGTTAATATATATATAATGGAGTTTTTGTCTGAATCTGTCAAATGTTAATGGATTAGACATTGTTAATGTAATTCTTGACTGTATATATTGTATATATTTTTTTCTTATATTAATTATAACTTTTTTATTTTAAACAAAAAAGGGGAAATGTGGTTGATATACTGGGCACCGCAATAAACTTATCTGGGGGTCTGAGAACAGAACAGCCATAATATTAAACATAGAGGTTAGGCAGTGGTACTATATGCCTTTAATCCTAGCATTCTGGAGGCAGAGATCCATCCAGATCTCTGATTTCAAGGCCACACTGGAAACTACCAGGCATGGTGATATACACCTTTAATCCCAGGAAGTGATGGCAGGAAGCAGAAAGGTATATAAGGTGTGAAAACTAGGACCTAGACTTTTAAGCTTTTAGGCTTTCAGCAGCAATTCAGCTGAGATCCATTCAGATGAGGACACAGAGGCTTCCAATTTGAGGAAACAGGATCAGCTGAGAAGTTATCGAGGTGAGGTTAGCTGTGGCTGGTTCTGTTTCTCTGATCTTTCAGTGTTCACCCCAATACCTGGCTCTGGGTTTGCTTTTAAAAAGACCTTTTAAGATTCATGTTATATAATATTGTAGGAAGTTGCTAGGTTTAAGGACATCCATAAATAAAAGATCTTACCAAGGATATGAAAAAATTCTGCTCAAAATGCCAAGGAGATTACAAAGAGAAATTGTAGATTTGAAATCCTCTATGATTATTATCTCTGTCTTTTAAAGTTTTAGTTGCTTTCTAATACTGAATAATGCAAAACAAAAAAGACAAAAACAGAAAGTAGGGAAGAGGGGGCCAGAAATGTAACTTGGTTGGTAGAGTGCTTGGCAAGCATTCATGAAGCCCTGAGCTTCAACCCAGAACACATTCACCAAACACAGTGGTAGATACCTATAATCCCAGCCCCAGAAGGTGGAGGCAGGAGGACCAGAAAGTTGCAAAGTTTATAAAAGCACATTCAATCCACACTGGGCTATATGAGACTCTGTTGCAAATAAAGAAACCAAAGAGCTGGGGATACAATGCTGTGGGACAGCAGTGAAGCAGAGTATAGTAAAGCTCCCAAGTGTAACCATGATGAGACAGGAGGCAGAGTCCCGGACCCCTTAAAGCTCAACTGCCAGTGGGTCTTGTAGATACAAGAGTACAAAAAGAGAGTCTGTTTTAAACAAGGTGAAAGGCAAGGACCAACACTTAAGATTCTTTTCTGGACCCCCAGAGCATGCCATGTTCATGTGCCCATCTGTACTCACATGTGAACACACACACACACACACACACACACACACACACACACACACAAACAGGCAAAATGCATAAATAAATGGATACATAGGTAGAATGGGAAAGGAAAGGATGAAATAGCATTATTCCAAGGCAGTGATCATGTACTGAGAAGGTCATTTGGAAAAATGTGTTCTTATTAAGCACTGAGAAGTTAATAAACTGACTGAATGCAGAATTTATTGAGAAGTCAATAAGATAAAGTTATATAAACAACAAGGTCTGGGAATGTTTATGTGGAAAATAATTCACTGTTGGGGGATATTATTTTAAGGTGTGTTACTTTTGTTTATGTTGTATTCATTTAACTCTGTGAAGTTGTGTTACTGTATCTGTCTAAAACACCTGATGGTCTAGTGAAGAACTGAACAGCCAATAGCAAGGCAGGAGAAAGGATAGGTGGGGCTGGCAGGCAGAAAGAATTAATGGAAGGAGAAATCTAGGAGAGGAGAGATCTAGGAGTGAGAGAAAGAAAAGGACATCAGGGTCTAGCCACTCAGCTACACAACCAGCAATGGAGTAAGAAAAAAATGTATACAAAAGTAGAGAAAGCTAAAAGCCCAGAGGCAAAAGACAGATGGGTTAATTTAAAGTTAAGGAGTAGGCAAGAAACGAGCCAAGCTAATGCCGAGCATTCATAATTAAGAGTAAGCCTCCATGTGTGATTTATTGGGAGCTGGGTGATGAGCCCCCCCAAAAAAGAAAAAAAGAGTAAAAAAGCAAACAACAACAAATCCATAATAGCAAAAGTGAGTTAAAAATGAGTGCTCACATGCTGGCCCCTCCTTTAAGAGCCTTCCAGGGCTGATCCATCATATTCCCACAGCAAGCCCATAGACATCCACCTGAACACATGGAGGCAATGAGTTTAAATTCATTTATGTTTTCCCAGGTAGTAAGGTACAGGCTGCAATTCATACCTAGGCAAACCTCATTCATGGGCTGTGGCCTTTGTTCCCATGAGATGTAGTTTCTTTAAGACACAAAGGTTGTGAGGAATGACACAGGAATATACTTAATAAAAAAAGAAAACATTCAAAATCTATTAAGAAAGATGTGTGAGAGTGCTGGCAGTGGGGGAGGGAGCTTTATAAAAATAGAAAAGCAGATCATGTTCTTAGGCAGGAAAAGTTAACATCATAAAAGATAAATTCCCTCCAAATTCATCTATATGTAAAACTTGATTCCAATAAAAACAAGAAATGGGTGTTTCCACGAAAACTGGTTTCCAACTTCATATGGAAAATTTAAAGAGGAACACAGAGAAGAGTCTGGAGGGCTAGCTGTTCAAATATTTAAAATGCTCAACAAGCAAAATGAAATAGAGTCAGGGCAAGAGCAGATGGACAAATAAATGGAACAGAATGCAAAGTCTAGACAGAGATTGAAGTTCTTGGGGATTACCATGTAATATGTGTGGCGTTATATCATATATCATGTATCTGTGGAGAAATAGATGATTCAACATGTGATATAGAGAGGGGAAACCATCTGGATAAATAGATTCATGCCACGTCATTCAGGCATAATATGAGAAAGTTGGTGAGTTCACTGCAGGAAAATAATATTAAGGAGAAAGGAAAAATAATCGTGTAATCTCAACATATGAAAGCCCTTTATCTGTATGACATAAATATAACAGCCATGGAAATTGTATCAATAAATCCAACTTCAAAATAATTAAGATGTATTATTCCTGGGAAACTAATCAGAAGATAAACAAAAAAATGAAAAATAAAAATACATATAAATATGCTACTTTATTTTTAAAAAACTTAAAATTAAAAAAGAAAAAAATAGAATACATAAATGACACAAACTGAGAGAATACAGAACAAGAAACATAGATCATTTAAAATAGATGACATGACAGCTCTCCCTTTCAACCATAATACAAGAAGTGGAGATTAAACCACACCAAGTTCTCAGTCACCAAAGGAGCTAGGACAAGGAAGAGGTAAGAGAGAACCCTCATACATTGCTGAGTACACGCCAATTTGGACTCTAAAAATTATTAACTTACCTGTCTTGAAAAAGGAATAGAGGCCATTGATTCATTCTTTCTGCCAAGAAAAAGAAATATTCAAAATATGAGTTGAAATCATCATAAAATAGTTCAAAAGGCCAAATAAAGAAACATTAACCTGAAGATAAGAAAACCAAATGAATATTAAGCTGCCTCTTTCAGAGAACTTTTAAGGAACCAGGTCAATTAATTTTAATTTTGACAGTCTTCTCATTTGAAGACAGAAATAAAATCAAAAGATAGCCCCCCATAATACACAAAAGACTCAGAGTCTATAACTTTAAATAGATGGCTAATTAAACACTCCCACAGGGGATCATTTGGGCATTTTGAATACTTTTAGCCTTGGTTTTAGATGATTGCAAACTGTAAGAGAAACAGGATGCTGGTGTGTACCACTGCAATAATCTTTGCTTTCCATAGATCTAAATAATCATTTTGGTAAATTATTATCACATATAAAACATTAAGCACACATTGAAGATAACCAGACATGGACAGGAATTATACTTACCAAGTGGGAACTATTCTCTAAATACTTATGAAAACAGACTCTAAAGATTCAACTATTAAAATTCCCAGATGTACATGAATGTTTTTAAAGAATCGAATATATCTGTAGTGAACTGGGACTATAAAAATGAGAAAACAGACCTGAAGAAACAATAGAATTTCCAGAAATTAAACTATTATGCAGCTCAAACTTAAAATCAAATAGGTAGTGTTAACAGAAGAGTAAACAGCAAAAGAGAGAATTAGGAAACTGGAAATGAGGAATGATGAACACTTTCAGAAAAGAAATACTAAAACTAATACGAAACTCCAAAAGAACTGGGGCAGATAAAATCTTCTAGAAGTGGGAAAAGCTTGAAGGCATTCATCACAGTTCCTGGTTTTAAAACATGCTACAAAGCTACAGCTACTAAGACAGCATGGCACTATCATAAGAACAGACATTTAGGCCTCCAGAGCAGAATAAAAAAGCCAGAAGTTGGCCTGGAGAGATGGCTCAGTCAATAGACGCTCTTTCGTGTAAGTATGTGAATTCCTGAGTCAGATTCCTGGTACCCATGTAAAGAGCTGTGGAAAGACACAGGAGGATCCCTCCAGGACATTCATGGAGAACAAGTCAACTTGGTAGACTTGTAACCATGAGTAGTGGGCACTAGAGATTAAGAAGCATAAACAGGACAAGGTGGAGATAAGTGAAGAGGGTTGTCTAGGGACTGAGAAGGGCCATGAGAAAGGGTAGCTAGACCTGGGTGACAGAAGGCTGGGTGGACATATTCAGTGCACAATGTGTGTATGTATGGAAAGACCAAAATGTATTAGTATGCTAAACACAGAAAAATTTAAAGGCGAAAGAAGAAAGGAGAAAACCCTAGTAAACAGACTGAAAAGTGCTAGTGTAAATTCCATAACAATTCCAACAATGCTTCAGAACAAAGGGAGAATAATGATATATAGATAAACAAATTCTAAGAATTAAAAATAACAATTGCACATTTAAGCCTGACTTTGTGAAATTCTGGGAAATGAGAGACAGTGAAAACATCAAGTCTAGGTGCTGGACAGAAGGCTCAACAGTTGAGAACACTTGCTACCCTTGCCCAAGGCCAGAGTTCAGTTCCCAGAAGCCATGCTGGGCAGCTCACAGTGTAGTGAAAGTCCACCTCAAAACAAACAGATAGCAAAGACAGACTTTGATGGAACCAGGTATTCTTATGGATGCCCAGAGTTGCCGTTTGTGTCACAGATACTCAGTCAAGAGCTATAGGGAAAGTGTAGATATGAACATTGAGAAACAAATAAAAATGCTTTTATGTGTCTTTGCATGCACATGCATGTGAGTGCATGTATGTGTATGAGGAACAGAGTTGCATGTGTTCAACATGTTTATGTATATATGGAGGCCAGAACTCAACCTTGGGAGTTGTCCCTCAGGTGCCCCCATTAATTAATTAATTAGTTAATTAGTTAGTTAATTAATTTATTAAGTCAGGGTCTCTTCTCTCATCGACAAAAGTAGGCTAGACTGGCTGGTCAGTGAGCCCTTGAGACCCTTTGTCTCCAACCTCCATCCCTGGGATTATAATTTCACACTGCCTCACCCAGGTTTTTACATGGATCCTGAGGATGGAATTCAAATTCTCATACATGTGTACAGGCACTTTACCAACTGAACTATTACCCCTACCTCAATGAAGAATTGTTTAAGAAGATGCTGCAGGGGAGACTCTTCATGACGAAGAGGCAGAAAATATCCCAACCACAGCAGGAAAACTACAGGGCTGGAGAGGTAGGCCACTGGTTCAGAGTACTTGCTTCCCTTGCAGAGGACTGGAGTTCAGTTCTCAGAATCCACTCCCTGAACAGCTCACAATCACCTGAACTCTACCTCGGGGGCATCCAAAGCCTCTTCTGGCCTCAACATTCACACAAACACACACACACACACACACACACACACACACACACACACACACACACACACACAAATACAAACAAAAATAAATCTAAGATGTAAGAACTACAGATAATAGTATTAGGGCTTTTCAAAGAGACAGAATCAATAGATAGAGGACAAGACAAGATGGCAACTAGATAATACATAGACAATAACTGACCTGTAGCATTTTCAGCCATTATGCTAACAAAATATCATTTTGGAGAGAGAGAGAGAGA